CCAGGGAAGAGAGGGATTCTGCAGGACTGGTCTTACTGATGATGTTACGTCGCATCCGGCGCGAAAAAAAAATAAGAAAAGCAGCAGGCGACGCAGAGCAAAAACATCCGAAGCCTGAGAAAACGAGACGACAGGTGTTGGGGGTGGGAGGGGGCCCGGCTCGGTCGTTCGTTTGATGCTGCGACCCGTGCGGGGCGGAGGCACGATAATGGGGCCGTTGAACCACCCCCAAGGGAAGGTAGCTCGGGGCGCTACCTAAGCTTACACTTTGGAGATTCATGCAGGTTCACTGTCCGATGGCCCTTTCGTCGCAGCGCTGTTGGCGCTATTGGAAGATCATTGAGCGGGCATTACAGAGAGAGGCACGGGGGGCGGAGTTGGGGGGGAAAGCCCCGATGCAGAACAGGGCCTTGTTGGTGCTGTGCAGATCAGCCCCGGCAAGGTCCAAGGCACAATTCGACGACGGGTTCGAGTCAGGTCTGCGGAGAGAGTGAAGTCATTGTGGTTTCCCCCGCGGACAAAAAGTGCGATGGGAATTGATGCAGAGGAAGTTGGACGTCAGACCTAGCGACGTGTGGTTCCGAGTCTCAAACTCGAAAGATTTGCGTTGGAGGCTGAAGAGAGAATGTTAAAGCCCACTTCCCGCCCTGGAACCGTCGTGGACCGAGGGCGATCATGTGTCGCAACAGCGGCACTCCCAAACAGAACGGCTTCACAACCGGCGGGCGGAGTTGGCGTGGTGCTGGTGCTGGTGCTGGTGCTGGCTGGGTTACAGTCGAACTGGGCGCCGTAACGCTGATTTTAGCTCGTGTGGAGTGCAGCAGCGCCCTTTGCCGTTTGTGGGTTGACGCGGGAATGACGTTGAAGATCGCGAAGATTGGGCCTGGCACCATTGGCTTAGTCTTTTGCAACGCCAGACGGCCGAAGTTGCTGAGTCGACTGCGGGATGGGTTTGTTAGTGGACGGTTCCTGGAGTTCGGAGGGTGGTCTGCCGCCGTGATAGGGCCGAGTTTAAAATTTGCAATCGCAGTGGGTGGTATTATTGGTTATTCATGGCTGCTGGCAGGTTTGCGACTCGTCCGATGTGTCTTTTCTTTCGTTGGACGACTTACTTTTTGCTTGGTGGTTCGTGATTACTGACGAGCCGGCCGGCGTAATTTGGGCGCCCATTACACCGGACCACCGAGATTACTGCGCAACGGGAATCTACAGAGAAAAGAATCGGTCGGCACACCTTGGGACGGTTGAGATGAGGTAGGATCAATCCCAAGAAGCCGTTGAGCCGTCCGGACTGAAGCTGCCTCGGGGCGCTCGATTGGGGTAGCAGGGCGCTTTTGCGACACTGGTGGCTTTTCTTTACACGGCATGTCGAGGGTGGCTTTCATTTGCGCAGGTCTGTCTAGTCTTTCCGAGGTTAGGACGGGGTGACAGGTTCTAGGCGTGGTTTAGGCTCATGGGGTGGCGGTGCTATGGTTCAGGTGGTTGTTGGAGATTTGAAGGGGGGGAGGAAGGACTTTTGTGGTGATTTGTGTTCGCGATGGGATGGTTTGGAATTGTGAGCTTTTCTGTGAAGGTGGCTGATGAGTGTGACGATGAGACTGGGGATTCGGATGCTCAGTCAGCTGTACTGCTATAATGTGGTTCCGTCATAAGCGCTGGCTTTCTGGGGAACGGATACGGAGTCGCGTGGAATCATCACGGAAGGCTGGTGCCGTTGGGTTATGTAAGGCAGTCGGTCCTCCATCAGCCTCATTTTGCCTGTTGTTTCTATTTTCGGATCGAGAGCGACGAGATGCTTTTCGTCGTCCGGATCTCGCGATGTTCGCCATCACTTCCGGGACCTGCTTTTGCCAGCTGTCTCTGCTGAGTCACCATGTCTGCCAGCTGGCCTGCAAACTCCAAAATCCGCTTGCGACCGGTCGGAGTTAATGCGAGGAAACCCGCTGCACCGCGCAGAACGTACGGGAAATTCCACCACCTTCCCTCCGAACCACTCACATGACCAGAAAAAAGCTTTAGCTAAGCAGAATCACCGCTCCGGGAAGGCACCCGAGCTTTTCCATCCGCCTCCACGCCGCAGAGCATAGAAACGTCATTCGTCATTGCCTCCGACGGCAACAAATCTCCATCGCCAAACCTCTTTTTAACATCCTCACTCCTCGAGGACCGTCTCTTTTGTCTCGACACGATACATCGCACATACACTCACACATCCAGCAAAGATGTCATTCAGCATGGCAATCCGCCAAGCGCCCCCGCGCCTGGCGCAGCGCATCCCCCAGCTCACCCGAGCCATCCACACAACCCCCAAGACGCCCCTCACCAGGAGGACAGCGACGAGCGCGACGACCTCGACCTTCTTCACCGCCCGCAATGCCTTCCGCAACTCCGCCCGCGGCTACATGCAGCAGGCGACCCCCGTCCAGGGCGAGAAGGCCTCGCCGCTGCGCAAGATGCTCGTCGGCGGCGCCATCTTCGGCGGCACCCTGGTCGCCATCAACGCCGTCTTCAACCGCGAGACGAGGGACGACGGCGGCATGCCCGTATACGAGCGCGAGTACCTCAACGACACCTTCCTGCACACCGGTCTGGGCGTCGGCATCATCGCGCTATCTGCCAGGCAGATGATCCAGAGCGGATTCGTCTACCGCCTGATGGTCACGAACCCGTGGGTCGTCGGTCTCGGTGGTCTGGCGTTGAGCTTCGGTACCATGTACGGCACTCGTGCCATCTCTCCTGACAAGTAAGTCGCACCCTCGTCGAGACTCAGCAGAGCAGCAACTGACGATACACAGCTACATCCCCAAGTACGCCATGTGGACGGCCTTCAACGCGACCCAGGCCGCCATGATCGCCCCGCTCCTGACGATGGTCCCTGGTGCCCTCCTCGCCCGTGCCGGCCTCTACACCGTCGCCATGATGGGATCGCTCTCCATCGTCGGCGCCACTGCTAAGCAGGACAAGTACCTCTACATCGGCGGACCCCTCTTGGCCGGCCTCGGCGTCGTCATCGCCTCCAGCTTCGCGCCCATGATCCTGCCCGCCACCGCCATCCGCACGCTCGCCATCACGGAGAGCATCTCGCTCTACGGCGGTCTTGCCGTCTTTGGCGGCTTCACCCTCTATGACGTCCAGAAGATCCTGCACCACGCCCGCCTGGCGGAGCGCGGCGTCATCCGCAAGGACGCGGTCAACGAGAGCATTGCGCTCGAGCTCGACTTCATCAACATCTTCGTGAGGATGGTGCAGATTCTGATGATGCAGAACAACCGCAGGAAGTAGACGATTATGTGTGGAAGGTTGGAGGAGTGTAAGATGGTGAACCTATTTACACAGGGGACGGCAGTGGTACTTTAAAAAATATCCCGCGGCAGAAAAGGCTTCATATTCTTCTCTGCTGCAATAGTTTTAGGACAGAGGCGACGAAACCCCTCTCATGATGAACAGCTCCGAAGACGCCTTTGGGCGAGGAGCTGGCGTTTGTACAATTACCAATCAATAAAAATTTGATAACTTGATAACATGAGTGCACACATCGGCATCCTGGTGATTGTGGCGGAAATTAAAGAATGAGAGGCCATAGCCTTCAGTAGTTAACTCCGCAAGACGACATACACTACCTTATATGCCCTCAGGTCCATTTTCAATGTTGCGGGATAGAGGTGAAAGAGGGCCAGGCAAGCAACTTTATCAATCCATGGGAGTTCAGTTGGGTGGTTCGATCAATGCTTGAGATTTCGAAGGAGCGGCAGGGATTAGCCGCCCGCCACCGGTAGAGGCCATTGCTATGGTATGATGGGCAAGTACAGGTAAAACCTGGAGCTGACATCAAAATCCAGGCCGGCTTCAATTTCACTATTCACTAAAAGGGTCGAGCAATTTCCGAACAAGGTTGTTGGATACAAACCAGCTAGCCTTGTGATGCAGTCCAGTCGCATCGCACGGGATACCGTACCCGGTCAGGCTGACCCGCAAAGACCTGATATCTTGGCTTGGTACCGCAGTATGCCTTGGGATTCGAAAAGCCGTGAGGTGCGAGTCACCTTATTGGCTGATAGCAATGTCATCTGACATGCATGCTAACCATTCCTCCACTTGCCTACTCTACCCCCTTGTCTTCCACGATACCCCTCTCTTAAAGTCCTACCTCTTACTCTGATCCCACAAACTTTCTGAAACAACGCTGCAAAGTGTTTTCGAGCCGCCTTTCCAAAGAAATTGATGCCCAGCTTCAAGCGATGGAAGAAAATGAGACAGAACCGGATGTACCCTGTCTTGTCTGCTATGACCTCCGACTTCCAAGATACTTCTTCAACGAGCCAGATCGATTTAAGCGGCAACTAGAGCTCGCTCGAGAGCTAAGCGGCTACGAACCTTTCGACAAATATCGGCGTCTTTTCGTGGAAGCAAAGTCGCTGGATGCTACTGCAGCAGCCGGATGCCTATCATGCGCGCTCCTCAAAGATGTTTGGGGGCGGCTTTGCCATACAGACCAGCTGTGTGTAGGAGAAGGTGACATGGAAGGTCGATGTGGGTTTTACTTGAATCGTCCTTTGAGCTGTCCGTTTGCAGTCGGTCTTTTTCTCCGTTTAGAGGATCATTCCTATTTGATTCACACCTTGGAAGGTATAGTCGCGCCGTACAGCCACACAGGGACTCAAACAGGCTCAAAACTAATGACAAGACAAACCCTAGGAGAACCCTGCCCTTGGGATGCAATACCCTCTCTACCTTGGAGTGGCCACTTACCGTCGTTGGATCAAGTGCGGCTGTTTGTCGAAGATGCATTCGATCAGCGGCTGTCCTACATGCTGCAAGATCATGAAGAACTACTGGTCTTGCCTGCCCGTCTTGTAATGCTACACGACGATCAACCTCAGGGCAGCATAGGGCCGGCAGCACCACTGGAAATTCGCCTCATCGAGACATCATCAATTGCACAGACCTTTGAGGATGATGTACGCTACGTCGCCTTGAGTCACTGTTGGGGCTCGCCAGACATGGCCGCCCAAATGCTGCAGACTACCACGGAAACTATCGGCGCTTTTTCTCGGTCGATTCCGTGGGCAGACCTAACAAAGACATTCAAAGATGCAATGCTCCTCACCAAACATCTGGGCATTCGCTACATCTGGATTGATTGTCTGTGTATCGTGCAAAATGATGCGCAGGACTGGGCTGTAGAGGCTTCTCGAATGGCATCAGTATACGCGAATGCTCATCTGACTATTTCCGCCATGGGAGCTACCGATGGGCATCAGGGGCTTTTTATAAACACTGGCAGTGAACCTATACTTCGGCGCGGAGTTCATGAGATCAAGCTCCCTGGCTTGCAATATCCCATCTACGTTCGCTCTGATGCGACCTACGGAAGTTCGGCGGGGTTTGATCCCCTCAAACCGACCAAGATGCCTCTGCTACACCGGGGCTGGGCATTCCAAGAAAGAATCTTGTCTCCATTGATGTTACATTTCACGGAGAGTGAGTTGAATTTCGAAGACGAAAGAGGTAGGAGCTCCTGTGAATGTAAGGAGTTCAACCACTCCATCGAGGGTATTTCTGGCCGCGATTGGTTGTTCAGGACGGTAGATTCATCCTTGGGCTATCAGTCATGGTACAAGATCGTGGGGTTGTATGCGCCTCGCTTGCTGACCTCCGAGGCTGACCGGCTCCCTGCATTGTCAGGCATCGCTACTACTTTCCAGCGACGGTTGCCTGCGTCTGGGTCTTACCTCGCTGGGATTTGGGAAGCGGACATCCTAGGAGGGCTTCATTGGTATGTATGTGGAACGGTTCAGCCCAGACTGCAGCCGACGTTAGCTCGAGGGACATTGCTATCGGCACCTCCGACGTGGTCCTGGGCTTCCGTCGGGAGTAGCAATATAGGATGGCGTGGGTACGACGCCACGTCTTATTCTTTGGTCGAGATCATAAGCTCGACTTGCTTCCCACTTACCTCAGATGATAAGGGCATGGTCGCTGGTGGTCGCATTGCCTTGCGTGGACGACTGTGCCTGGCCACTCTAGATCTGAGTCCCCACTCAGTGTCGGGGAGATGCTCCATCTCGCTGGCTGACGAAAGCCTGATCAACAATGCGCCTCTGCAGCAAGATGTTAGGCTTTGCTCCGAAGAGGCCCTCCCTGCGGTTTACTTTCTGCCACTATCTATACGTGAAAGTTACAGTGGCCTGTGGTGGGATTTATTTGGTCTCGTTCTCTGCCGAGAAACCAAAGAAACCACGGCGACCAACAGGGTCGAGCATTCATCGAAGGATATGGCTACCTTTTCGAGAGTAGGCTGTGCATTCACGAGGGTTGAAAACAAGACACTGGTTCTGCTTACTGGACGTAATCGTGACTATCAACTAACTCCTATGGACAAGCGTGAGGCTGCGGCCCGGTTTTCCGAATGGCGCGACACAGTCTTCAACAGTTTTGGACAAGAAGAGGTCCTTGCAATTGTCTGAGTATCAGTTTACGCAGCATTTCTCGCATAGCAATGTAAACTCGAAGGTTCCCCAAAGTTCTAAGCAAAGTTCATTGCTAGAACATCATTGTCAATAAAGCGGTTGAACGCTATCATACCCCAGCCAGTACCATCTCGGCGGAACCCAGCCAGATCATCCCTTCCCGTCCCCATCTTGATATCATGATCCACATGTTAAAAGAAAGACCCAATCCCAATCACATCGCTCCTGTTACTCTCTATCGTCACAACCTGCTCTTTCCCTCATCCTTCACTAGTCACCCCTGCAGCTCAGGGAACGTCCTCAAAAAGTGGCTCGGGCACTCATACCCGCTCGGGTTGTTGTGCAGGTACAGCTGGTGGTACTGCTCCGCATCCCACCACTGCCCCGCGGGAATCACCTCCGTCACGATCTTGCCCTTGTACCACTGCTCGTTGGCCAGCTTCGTCACCTCCTCGGCCGTCTTGCGCTGCTCGTCGTCGTGGTAGAAGATGGCGCTGCGGTACTGCGGGCCGGTGTCGGGGCCCTGGCGGTTCGCGGTGGTGGGGTCGTGCATGCGGTAGAAGAACTCGAGGAGGGCGCGGTAGGAGACCTGGGCGGGGTCGTAGACGACCTGCAGGGCTTCGGCGTGGCCGGTGTCGCCGCCGCAGACGGCGCGGTAGGTCGGGTTGGAGAGGTCGCCGCCGATGTAGCCGACGCGGGCGTCGATGAGGCCCTTCTGGGCGAAGTGCTTGCGGTAGAGGTGCTCGACGCCCCAGAAGCAGCCGGCGGCGATGGTGGCCTTTTGCGCGCCCGGAGGGAGGGCGGCGCCGGTGGAGGAGTTGGCGGCGAGGGACATTGTGGTGGATGTGAAGGGGCGGGTGAAGCGGGTGAGGAAGGAGAAGGGCATTGTGGACGAGAGGAAGATTGCGAGGAGGAGGGTGAGGGCGAGGGTGCGCAGAATGGTGGTGAGGGGCGGCGGTTGGAGCTGCTGGAGCTGCGCGGTGGGGTTTCGGGGTCTGGGATCCAGGTCGTGATTTTTGGGCGGTATGGCGACGGGGGTGTTTGATGCGAGAAGCTTTGTTTTGGATGTTTCACGGGAAATTGACGAGATTCTTTGGTTAGCAGAGACGCAATTGAGATTAACAGGAGAATGAGATATGGCTGTAAACTGAAGTTATATAGAAGAGACCCTGCGTCATGCTTCCGATTCCAAAGCACCGGAACCTCGTGTCACCGCCCGCCCCTCCAACTGAGTCGCCCCCTCTGGAGCATTCGGCAGAGACAGCAGCGGCAGCAAAAGAGAGCAGAAAAAAAGTCGTTGAAGTCACCATCTGGGTTTCTCATTCGCCGGGCGTCCCCTGTGGCGGGGACCTGGAGTGCATGACAAATCGGGGCCGGGATTCGGAGATCCTTCTGGGTGGAGGGGTAATCTGTACGGATAGGTAGCGTAATCTGCATGGAGCTATCCACGTGACGTGCCTCCTCAGTAAGCTCGGGCCTTATCGATAAGAGCTGCAGGAGCTGTTTGTTGGCTGAAGACGCGCCGCCAGGCTGTGTTGGTTCATGTCGGGGGACAAATGTGGAATCAATGCCCTTTGGACTTTCGCAAGCGTTTTGCATGATTACATATGCATCATCCGTCATCATGTCTGATGCATCTGCTCCTTCGAGACGCCTTGAAACGACGACCGGCAGTAAGCGCAAGGCCGAGAGGCTGCCATCATGCGACCACTGTGGTGCCACGTTGAATGAGCGGGAGCAAGAGTTTGGCGAGTGCGAGAGGCACACAGGGAACTGAGTTGATTCCAAATATTTGTTCTTGGCAACTAATCTATCACTGGGAACGCAACGCGTCCGGAAAGCGGGTGAAGGTCTGGCGCGGACAGAACGGGTCCATGGAGGCAAAGGCCCTGCTTGAGGCTGAGGAGAAGGCCAGGAGGGAAAGAGAGTATGAAGAGGTGTTCGCAAAGGAGCCTCCGACGGACTTCGACAGGGAGGGGCAATGGAGGCGTCTTGCGTCTGGGAAGTGGGAAAAGGTTGAGGATGAAGAGAAGCGCGAGCCGGAGTGGAAGCGTATTCTGCGCTTGTGGAGGGAGAGGGTAGCCGCTGGAGGAATGACTTCTGGTCAGATCGTGGCCACGCTCTAGCAGCAGCCCATCATCGACGCCGTGAAGCTTTATGATGCGTTGATCATGGTTGTTCTTTTTGGATTGTTTTATGTCGTGATAAAGCCTGAAAGTCTAGGGGGATTATGTGTGTGAATTTGTGGTAGTCATGGTGAAGCGGACTCTCTAATTTGAATTTGGCATGCCCCATAAGAAACACCGAAACCTGCCCTGAGCAGCTTTCAAGTTGTCTTCTCCAGCATACACGAGGAATCCCGCTGCGTTCATTCATTTCTTAGAACCATCAATCCACTCTCACGGATTGTGGCCACCGGCTCTAGCGGCTGCTCGTGACTGATGTCGTGGAGCTTGAGAGTGTTAAGGATAGATGGTGTTTTTAGAACTATTTTGAGCTATAATGAAGTTCTGGTTACACGAAGGGCTATCCTGCGCCGAATGATCTAGCAGGGGCACCAATCTGTTGTTGGTTTCCCGGTGACGAGGCGCAGCAAGACGTCTGGGGGCTTACATGCAGGGCTTCAATCAGGTACCCGCACCCACCTTTGATGATGCCGCAGCCTCGCCAGATGTCAGCAACCCAACTGTGCCAAAAACAGGCTCGGCTAAGGTCCGAAACTCTTGTTATCTGGCACAGGGTTTGGGGCACACTCAGACCTGCCCATTAAGGATGAGGCGCGCTTACAACAGTTTTCGAACCACACGTCCCTCCTTTCAAAATTCCGCCGGTGGAGCCGACTGTTGGTTCTATCTATTCACGGGACGGTATGCTTAGCAATGCGTGGCCGAACGTTATCACTGCACCTGGGAAAAACAAATCGGGATGTAGCTGCACGCACGTTTTGACGCTGTGTTTCTGCCAGCTTGCCTCACGTGGAGTCCTTGCCAAGTGTGGCATGCCTTAAAATGACCTTATCAAGGAAGTAGAACCCTAACAGTCTGCATGCCCCGCCTGAAATATCTCGGATTACGCCTAAATGGGCCCATTCTCTGTGTTCCTAGTGGCTTGGGGCGGCTTGGGACTCGGAAGTGCATCCAGAATCGGCTCCCCCCTGCACACTTCGAAGATCGGGTACATACACGCAACTGGAGCTGGACAAGGGCTGAAAAGCACATAACAGGGAAAATTTAATAATATTCAGGGCTATCACCAATCGGATTCTCTGTGTCAGCGGGTTCTGGAGGCAAAGAGTGCTTAAGTAAACTAGCCTGGCCCCCCGCTCATGCATGTTCCCCTGTTGGTCGCGCTCTCCTGTCTGATGCTTATATTGCCGCGCTTTTACCACCTTCGCGAATCGCGATGGCGTGGTGATGTCTCTCGACCATCATCCGGTTACAGTCTCTCACTTGCACTTGCCGCAAAAGCCATGGGCGTAGTAACATCGTACATCCATAGGCGACAAGATGACCTTCACCTATGGCCGCCAACCCGCGAGGCCGCTGTTGACGACAATCTCTCACCACATCAATCTGAAAGCCTTCTGTCTGAGGGGCGTCTAGCCGGGCGGAAGAATGCAAGCGAGATTGAAGCACACCAAGTCGACGGGTCAACTAAGGAGCTCTTCACAACAGCCTCAACAACGACGGCGAGCTCGGGCTCGTTCCTTCGATGGTGGTATTTCGAGATACTTAGCTGCGGTTTCGCAACAATTTGTCTCATCGCACAGGTCGTCGTCCTCTCCCTTTACGACGGGAAGCTCCAGGACAGCTGGACCGCTCAAAGTTTGACACTCAATGGTCTCATTGCCATACTGGCAACGTTTTGTCGGTCCGCTCTCATGGTTCCCATAGCAGCCTGCCTTGCCCAGTCTAAATGGAATGCTATGTCGGGGCGCAATGGAGATTATCGCCTAGAAGACGTCGCCGCTTTCGAAGCGGCATCCAGAGGCATGGGCGGCAGTCTGCAGGTTCTAGCAAGGTTCAAGGGCACGTACGTACCATACGCCTCTTCTTACATTGCTGATTTTGTGTTCAACCTGACGTCATGAGCGCCTTCATAGACACATTGCCTGTCTGGGAGGAATCCTTACCATTGCCACCCTGGGCATTGGCATCTCTGCTCAGCAATTGGTAACGGTGCGAATTGACAATGTCCCGGATCTGGAAGCTTCTGGTGTTCCAGCCCCTGGGCCCGTGTTCCCCCGTACGGCGATAGCGTATGGAAGTGGAAGATCAACAGGATGTACGTAACTCCTCCATATCAACCGCAGTGCCCACGATACACCGTTGCTAACCGATACTTAGTGCCATTCTCCACTGATCTTGCCTTGAGCGTGGGATTTCTATCCGACCATGTCAATTTCCTGGAAGTGGTCTGTCCGACGGGGAACTGTACGTGGCCAATCATCCCTACCATTGGTATCTGTGGCGCTTGTGACAACGCCACAAGCCGTGTCAAAGTCCTTGACCGGGATCCAAGCTCATGCGGGGTTGTTCTATCCGAGGGGGCCAATTTTGGTTTTAGACCCTGCGATGATATCGATATCGATGATGTCGAAGACGAGCTGGAGTATAAGTATTTCACAATGCAGACACTGACGTCCACGGGCGAAACGGACGGGGTCCCATTTCCCGGAGGTCCCAGAGAAGACCGCTTAATATTCGGCGAGTTTGCGGTCATTGGGACTTTCCTCAATGAGTCAGATTGGGCTAATCATCCCATCCCGAAAGACCCTCAGGCATATCACTGCGGTCTCTGGTACTGCGTTGAGGCCCATCAAGCGCGTGTAGACGCAGGCATCTTAAGGGAGGAGGTTGTCGGAGCATGGAGTGAAGCACGTTTTGACTTTGACTCTGACCGAGGGACCTTTCAGAACCTACCAGACTCATTGTCCGCAGATCCGGACGAGGAATTCACAGTAATTGAGCCCTTCACCATCTGGGACCTCAATGGTAATGCAACTATAGCCAGGTATAAGGCGGGCAGTTCGTTTTATGATGAGCGAACGACGCGCGGACAGGCTCTGCATGAAGCCTTTGGCAATATGGACTCGTTCATCGCTAAGGTCGCTCGAAGTCTATCTAACGATATCCGTGCGACTTCCACCCCAAACTCGATGCGCGGCGCCTGGTACCAAGGAACCTCATACATAAACCAGATCAGCATCGTCGTGCGATGGCCCTGGATCACGTTTCAGGTAGTTGTGGTGCTGCTCTCCTTCTTTTATCTTGTGGCCGAGATGATCAGGACGGCAAGAATGCCCGACGTACGGCCTCGGAAAGACGATGCGCTGGTACCGCTTTGGATCGAGTTGGACAAGGATGTGAGGGAACAGGCTGCCCAGGGACTCGGTGAGCCTGATGGCATCAGACGGCGGATTGGCAAAGATTCAGTACAGCTTCTGAATGGAGGAAAGAGAATGCGGGTTTCAGCTGCTATAGGATGATATTTATGATAGGTAAAACTATATATGTAGGGGTCAGGTCGTTCTTAATTAGTCTGACTACCTTATGATACGTAGGTGAAGAGGCTGCTTTACGCTGTGGAAGGCCTCTGGAGATGCATGTATTAAGGTGTTCCTACTTTCAGGCCCTGCTGGAGTTGCTGCTAATGGACAGCTTTGCGACAAAGTCGTCACCTCAAAACAATGCACGATCAAAGCGCTGGCATTGCTCTTGAGAACGTTGAATGAAAAGGCCCTTGGAATCTTTACTAAGGCTTCCCCAGAATGAATCGTCAAGAAAGAGTGCCGGCGCAAAGTGATATTGGCGGATGTTGGAAATGCTGCTCGGTCGTCTGGAGTTGCCAGCCGTGAGGAGTTACAGCTTTTGGATTGAGGCCATAAATCGCCCCAAGTGAGTTGTATCCCAATCAACAGAAGTATTAAAAAGGTCTGCGGACCTCTTTAACAATAAAAGATGCCAAATGCTGATAAGACGTTTCATGATATAAGAACGAGCCACTTCACCTTGTAATGCCTCATATGGACACTGGAACTCTCGCCGTTGACTGAGCGGGGACTAAAGATGTTCGCAATTAACGCCGTCTATGTAGACATCAATCTACATGGAACACATCCATCAACCAACCCAACTTCATCCCAGTCCATCGACTCTTCAGCCACAATCAATAATACATTCAACCTCCGACGACCTCGACTGATTAAAAACAGAGGCAACCTCAGTGACTAGCCACCCGAGCCTTGATGTGCAGGTTTTGCCTGACCCACAAAGCGTACTGCGGCAGGTTGTCGAAATCCTTCCCGATCCAGTCCAAGTCAGGGTTCTCCAGTTCCATGTCGAACGTCCAGAGCATCTTGGCCAGCGTCACACGCACTTCCATCCAGGCGATACTAAAGTTGTAAAATAAGGCATTAGTCTTACTTCCTATGCACGGGTAGCTCGAGGAGTCATGGAACTTACGGCTTTCCTCCGCATCCGCGGGCACCAAGCGAAAAGGGCTGGCTGGCTTCCAAAATGTCCCCGCCCTTGCCCAACCATCGATCCGGGTTGAACACCATCGGGTCCTTGAAGTTGTCGGGATGAAGCCCCGCGACCATCGGGGCGATGGTCACCGGGGTGCCTCCAGGAAGGAAATATCCATCGACCGTGTCGCCGCCCTTGGGCACCAGACGCGGCAGGATGGGCGGCGCTCCCGTCGGGAGACGTAAGCCCTCGAGGCACACGCGATGGAGGAGCTCCAGCTTCTCGGCGGACGCATTCGTAATCTCGGCACTGGTACGGAAAGCAGCCCGCACCTCGGCGGTGACGCGGGCTAGAAGGTCCCTGTCCTTCAGGAGATAGTAAGTCGTAGACGTCATAACCGCCGCCGTCGTCTCAGTGCCCGCGCCGATGAAGTCCCATGACTGCGCGGCGAGCTGGATCTCCGAGATGTCCATCTTGGACTCGGCGCGCTGCTGCAGCACCTTGGTCAGGAAGTCCTTGCGTGTGGTGGTGTCCTGCTCTGCGACGCGCTTCTTCATGACCTCCAGAGCGAAATCTCCGCCCTTCCGCGCGATGCCTTCGAGCTTCTCGACCTGGCTCCGTAAGAGGACGCGGCCGATGGGCCCCAGAGGCGGGAAGCGCTTGACCGCCTCCATGAAGCTGGTGAACCCCAAAGACTCGTTGAGTTCGCGGATGAACTTGTGGGGCTCCTCCAAACCGATGGCGCCAAAATCTTGCCCGAAGGCCAGGTCGCCGATGATGTCGAATGTCATGGAGCTGTAGCCGAAGGTCAGGTCCACGGTGCCGCCATCAGCCGTCTTGGAGCGGACGTAGTCGACGAAGCGGTCGATGTAGTCGATGATCATGGGCTCCATCTCGTTCAGAAAACCGCGTGAGAAGGCGCCGCCATACAGGCGGCTCATCGCAGCGTGCTTCACAGGGTCGCGCTCGGTGATGATGGAGCGAATATCTTGGGCGGCGTAGATGCTCAGACCGTCATACCAGGTGCCCTTGGTGAAGGGCTGGTGTCCTGAGCGAGGGCCGTAGATATCTTTCCACGCCTTGGCTGAGCTGAAGCTGAGTTCGTTTGGTCCGTAACGGACGACATGGCCTGGACATCAACGATCAGTCATCAGTGCTGGCGGTGGTTGTGCTATGATGATGATCAGGCACTCACCGTATTTGCTATGGAGTCTGAGTAGCTCATAGGATTGCTTTCCTTTGAACACTGACCACAGATGGGGGATCTACTAATGTCAGTGATGTAGCCAAACAAAGATCTGAAGGGTGGTGCTTACGATGCTAAGCTTGTTTGCCACAGGGCCAGGGAACTTGCGTAAGGGATGGAAGTATAAATTGTAGACCACCTTGAAGACAACATAAAGCACTATGGCCCCGATGGGAAGTAAGACATATCTCGGGACCGGTGCCTGGTCGATGATGTCGATGATGTCCTTGATGTCCATCGTGACGCTTGTTGTTTTCGAGCGGTACCTTTCGTTTACTTCAAGTCTTAACGAAGGAGGACGGACGTCATTTTATGATTGCGGTTGACGAAGCACTAGCTGAATCGTGTTTACTACGTTTATCGTAATGTCTACCTTCTTACTGGATACTACGAAACTTCCTCAACATGACCGCGGTTCTGGAAGCTGCCTTACACCCGAAGTCCCTTACCGCCGGCCTATTCCTATGTGGGCTGTGATTTTAACTTTTCCTCAGCGTTGTATCACAATATCATATGTCACTTGGCAACATACGTTGAGCAAGGCACTACATAGCCAGGCAGCAACACCGATAGCTGCTGAATTGAGGCAAATCGCCGGTCTAGAATCCTCCCAAGACACTTACACGTATTCATCGGCTTCGCCTGCTCCCCGCCCAGTCTGGCCGTGCTTGCCGTTACATTTGATGCAGGTCTGACAACAGTCCTCAGCACAGTTGACTCGTACTACCCCCACAGGCAATACTTGCCATGTTTAGTAAAATACGGTAAGAAGACTCGGCATAAACTCAAAGGGACTTTGGACCCTGAAGGGTCGGCCACGAGTCCAGGCTGGGCCGCGCATATCAAGGCAAGACTTGAAACTATCGCTTAGCCGAGAACGGGTTAGTAGACGCAGACAACCTTGCCAACTTCGCGCGCGGCGACCTCCGCTGCAGAAAGCTTGTCTGGCGTTAGACGAGATAACTCGTTCTCGTAAAAGCGCCGATTTACGGCGGGCACAGCGATAAGTGGATCGACGACTTTGGGCCCGAGACTAAGTACATGTAAGCGCGACGTAGCACTGATCGACACAGAGAAACCCGTGACCGAGGCGGAGGGGTGAACAGCAAGTAACAACATAGGGAAAAGACGGGAATCACTGATAACTTCCGTGCCGGTACGGATGTTCGAGTCTCGACAATGACGACTTGGCGGAGCGATTGACGATTTACGGCGCAGTCATGGCAGTAAGCGAAGACGTCGTAGTGACTGGAGAAGAGACCCGCATGAGTGTGGAGAGACGAGCCCGACGCAGTGAGCAGCAGGGGAATAAGCGACCAGGGAGTAAGCAACTAGGCAAGAAACAGGGCGTACTAGGCAAGAAACAGTGCCAAGATCCGCCCAGGTGCCAAACAGATAAGGCGGCGCAGTGAGCAATAATGCAGTAAGCGAAAACGCGGCAAAAACACGCAAAGAGGCGAGGCGCGGCCCGCTCGGGCCTAGGGCGGTTGACATGTTGAAAGTGAAGTATGTAGCCAATAGCGACAACGCAATCGGTTCAGGATCGTGACACAAGGATTCACAACTCACAACGTGCTAAGTTCACAAGGCAGTAAGCGACGCCCCAGTTGGCAGGGGAAAAGCTCCATGAGGTGGCGAGCATGAGATAAGAAACAGGCTACCAGATCCATGGATGAAGACGCCAGAATTAGCCAATAGAGATGTTACACTAAGCTAACCGCGTACCCTGATTTGGTGCGGGGCCGTGTAAGCCAATTGGCTACGTAACATCGTGATCTGACTTCAATTCAAGTCTCTGGGGATTGAAACGAAGTATCGGTAACGAGCCCGGGCAAAAGGCCGCAGGCCGCGGCGAATTGTCAAAGAATCTAAAACCAGAACTGCTCATGAGTCACGTAGTGTTGATGAAGATAGTTATTAAAACCACGCCATTCGTAATGTACATCTGATCATGTTTGCTTTTTGAAGTTGTAAGATTGCATTTCCTCAACACGACAGTCCAAGTTCAGCTTCAAATATGGCACTTTCCACTGAGAGCAGGGCTCTTGGAGCGGCAAACCCTAAGCTGGGCGTCATTTTCTCAAAACTCGTCCACGATCTCAAATACCAAGCGCCTCAACATCCTAACACACGGCCTGCGCTTGAAGCTGCTATGCTCAAATATGCCGCTACTTCAGGAGCTCCGTACGAGTCTGAATATGCGCAGCGGTACTTCGACGTCGGCCTTACCCTCGCTTGTGTAAGGCTTCTTCTTGCCTCGATGACCCCAGCGCTGTCCGCCTCGAGTTCGACATATACTCAGACTCCCACAACTAACTGCATGTGTTCAGGCCTACTATCCCACTCATCCCTTCGCCGTAAAACTACACATCGCCATCTACTCCTGGCTAGCCATCTACATCGACGACGATGACGCCGGAAACGATGATCTAGCTGGCTTCCAGGAGCGTTTTCACAAGGGAGAGCCTCAGCCATCTGCTCTGCTGTCGCGCTTCGCAGAGGTACTACATGACATGTCGAAATACTACGAACCTTTAGTGGCCAACTTCATTGTGTGTTCGACGTTACAGTTCGTCAACGCTACCTTACTCGAGAGACGCGGCGAGTTCCACGGTCTGAAGCACTGCAAAGAGGCAAGCGGCTGGCCCGACTATGTCCGCGACAGGAGCGGAGTACCCGAGGCATATGCCTACTTCATCTTCCCGAAGGAACAGTGCCCGAACATCGGACAGTATATGCAAGGAATACCGGACATGATGACTTATATTAACTACGCGAATGATATTCTATCGTATGTATGATCATATCCTCAGACCTGCTACGCTTACTGACACATCATCATCGCCACAGATTCCACAAGGAGACCCTCGCTGGCGAGACAGACAACTACATCAACACCCGGGCCGTTTGCGAGCAGCGCGAACCTCTTGCCGTGCTCGAAACCGTCGTTGCGGAAGCAATCGAAGCAAACTCGCGCGTGGTTGGGCTTCTGCGCACAAGGTCGGACCCCATGTACGCCCTTAAGTGGGATGAGTTCTTCAACGGCTATATCTTCTTCCATCTCTCAGCGAAGCGGTACAAGCTGCATGTGTACCCTGGACTGGCACATGAGGGAGTCAAAGAGCTAGTGGATGAGGGAGTCAGTGGGCTGGCGGAGGCAGTCAAAGGACTGGAAGAGTTTGGAGGTCAGAGGGCGGGTGACATGGAGAAACCTGCGGTCGGTGTGCTGCAGTGCGCTTAGGCTGTACGTTTTCTGTGCTAAGTTGTGAGGAGTTATGGATGCTTTGATCGGAAGAACATTAGATTGTCCTGTAAATAAAAATACTACGTGTGCTCATTGATGATTGTTGTTAGCTGTTGCTAGAAGGAAATGTAAGATGCTTGATCCCTGCCCAGTGATGCGAGCGAAGATCTTGGAGGATCCGCGATTTTGCGCATCGGCAACAAGGCTCTCGAGGCAACCTATGGAAGCAAGACAACCCTTGTTTCTTTTCGGCAAAGCCCGCACATGCGGGCTAGAGTTGAAACTTTAATATTTGATCTCAGAGGCTTAGCAACACGCACAACGATAAACTTTCCAATTATGTCTATAATCTAATTTCAGCCTCAGGACTAACATTATATATGGATTTCATTGTCCGATGCCTTAGTCTTACGAATCTCAGGAAATACAGTGTCTTTTTTTTCTTACACGCGTTGAAAAGAGGATTTGCTTCGAACAACCTTCAGCATGTGAGCAGTATCCTGCCTTCAATTGACGTCATCGCCCAACTTCATAAAGTCTCATCAAAATACGGTATTCAACGCCACGACAAGACTTCTGCGCTTCGTCTTTTGGCATCCAATGCCGAACTTCCAACAGACTGATGGGGTGGAGGAATGGCAAAGCACGGAGTTAAGATGCGTCACCCCGGTAGCTGCCATGGATTATGCAGCTGCATTTAGCGGCCTTAAGGCCGGGGGTTGAAGACAGGACCGGGGTCCATCCGCTGCGCCGCACCTGGAGCACTGGAGGCACGCTGATGAGGGGTCAACGGTCAACCTTGCAAGCTCAAGCTCAAGGATGGACTTTTGCGACTGATCGCCTGCACGACCGACTGTTTGGTGCATTCGTATCTTGCCAGGAACAGGCCTTTCTCGAATCGTCAACGAGCGGCTAAATGCACCTTGCTTACACCCTTGGGACATGTGGGGAAAGGGAGGCAGAACTATGAAGGCACGCTGATAACCATCTTCCAGCTCACATACCAACATACTGACGTCGCCTCACCGAGCTCATTCACCAGCATAGCATCCGATCCTACATCTTCCTCGCCTAGCACCTTGGTTCATCATGGCGCCTCCAACATCTCTACCCACCAAGCCTCTCGGCAAGACGGGACGACAGATACCCGCCCTCGGCTTCGGAATGATGGGCTTGAGTACAGCCTACGGACCCGTTGGGTAAGATGCTCCCTGTGTGCTCTTACTTGGGACACAGTTCTGACCCTCTCGTAGCACTGACGAAGAGCGTCTGGCGATTCTCGACCGCGCCTGGGAGCTCGGCTGTACGAACTGGGACACAGCCAACGGCTACGGCGACAGCGAGGTCTTGATCGGGAAATGGTTAAAGTTGCACCCCGAGCGTCGCGCCGACGTCTTCATAGCTACCAAGTTTGGCATCAAGTTCACAGTCAACGAGAAGGGCGAGTGGAACATGTCGGCAGACAACAGCCCAGAGTTCCTCAACGAATGCCTTGAGGGCAGTCTGCAGAAGATGGGTATCGATTCCATTGATCTCTTTTACGTCCACCGCCTCGACCCCAAGACGCCAGTCGAGAAGACGATGGAGCTACTTGCCAAGGCGAAGAAGTAAGTCAGGGCTCGGGTCTGCTGTCGTGGAAAAATACTTGTTACTCTGATACTGATACCTTTATCTCAGGGACGGCAAGATCAAAGCCATTGGCATCTCCGAATGTGCCTCCAGCAGCATCCGAAGGGCATACACCGTCGCGCCCGTCGACGCCATCCAGGTCGAGTACAACGCGTTCCAGTTGGACATCGAGAACGAGACGGGCACAAACCTGCTCTCCACCTGCCGCGAGCTTGGAATCTCCGTCTTCGCGTACGCGCCACTCGGTCGTGGGTTCCTGACGGGCCAGATCAAGAGCACCGACGACTTTGCGCCCGATGACTTCCGCCGCATCGTGCCACGCTTCAGCCCAGAGAACTTTGACAAGAACCTGGTTCTGGTCGACCGCTTCAAGACATTCGCCGATAAAAAGGGCTGCACGCCGGGCCAGCTGGCGCTCGCATGGTTGTCGGCGCAGGGCGACGATATCATCCCGATTCCCGGGACGAAGAAGCTGAAGTATCTGGAGGAGAATGTCGGGTCGGTCAAGGTGCAGCTCTCCAAGGAGGAGATCAAGGAAATCAGGGCAGAAGTCGAGAAGGCTGAGGTCTTGGGTCACCGTAACCCGCCGGGTATGTTCACCGAGTACTCGGTGACTGCTGAGCTTTGAGGTGTCCTTAGGTGCGGTATCTATTCAAGCTGGTCTTGTTGACAGAAATTGAATCCTCTAAATTGAAGCCTGTTTATCCTTCGAACTAACTTAAGAACTCAAGGACCTGGTTGACGTAGGAGTGGATATTGCTCGATTATGTTAGCAACCTGGCGTTCAAACCCAGAAAAACGACATGCTATTGGTCCTGCGTTACTGCACGCGGTTGGTCCTCACATATGATGGGTGGTCTGCTTGCAGCTCATCTCGAAACCCCCCCCTGTCAGCGAATCAAAGTGTACTCCGTGTTATTGACAGATGGATGCGAATTGATTGTGGCAAGGGAGCTGACCCCGCTCTGGCTTACCTTTTCTGTACCATTCTTCACTAATCCATGATCTCTCAACTTTCATCTTCTCGGATTCAGTCAGCACCCGTGATCTTACATACCAGAAAAAGCACACTCCAGAACCCGGCGTACCTGTCGTCACCACTCCCCAGTCATCCTCCCCTTCACAATGCGTCTTCTCCATACGTCAGAGCTCAATTTGACCGATTTCAATGCCATCCTATCACACACATGGGCCGATGGAGAGGTCTTGTTTGCAGATCTGCAACGAGATCCAACAGTGAAAATTGGCTGGGCCAAAATCACAGGAGCGTGCTAGGTAGCTAAAGATCTCGGCTGTGAATGGATCTGGATTGATACCTGCTGTATCGACAAGTCAAGTAGTGCAGAAATATCAGAGGCCATCAACTCCATGTTCCGGTGGTACAAGGAATCCGACATTTGTATCGCCTACCTGGGGATAGGCTCGCGGAAAGGTCTTACGGAGCGTATCGCAGAAGCAACTGGGATTCACACAAAATACACAATGTTCCCTCCCAGTCCAATTTCTCAAGCAAGCGTTGCCGAACGCATGTTCTGGGCTTCGCGTAGAGAAACAAGACGTGCCGAAGACATTGCTTACTGCTTGCTGGGAATATTCGACGTCAACATGTCGCTCATTTACGGAGAAGGCCGCAATGCCTTTAGAAGGCTTCAGGAGTCCATTATGCAGAAAACGGACGACCAATCTATCTTCGCGTGGGGCGAGAGGAAAGGCATCTCGACCTTACTACTTACCAAAACCTGGCGTTTATTTCTCGCAGACCATCCCAAAGCCTTTCGGCAATCGGCCAACATTATTCCATTCGAGACACCATTCACCAAATCCAGGATCAGAGTCAATCACGATGGCGTCACAATTCAAAGTCCGATGCGGGAAGCAATCCATCATCCCTACGAAGAGCAGGACTCGGAAAACCGATGCTTATTATTAGCCCCCTTGCTATGCCAGTATCAGGACGATCCGCTCAACTGCATTGCGCTGATGCTCACTTGCGACAAGATTCGCAAACCCGTGCAGGATTCTAATTCGGCGCCTAAGAGTTATTACCGTCTGGGAAACGAAGTCTCTCTTGCGCCCAAACGAATGTGGATACCGGAAAACCTCTTCCCAGCTTTTCTGTCCTACAAGTTGTCCCTCGTGACCGAAATGTCTAACACACGAGAGAGGTGCATCATCGAAATTGCCGCCTTCATATCATGCCAAACCTTCAACCAACTACATCGGTGAATCAAATTGCGTGGAAACTAGTTCTACCGGTGCTGTTACGGTTGATTTAGGGGCCCAGACTTGCTCTTCACTCTTTAGCGAGACGTTCCATCTAGGGGTGCTGCAGTTGGTCCATCTGGAATGGAACTCAAGCCGCAACGTTACTCTGATCTTGCAAGTTCTCTACTTCCGTTCCAGCAGACGCGATTTGGGACAGTTTCCTGACTCAAAGTACTCATTTACGGCATAGCCAATGGCGTACTATATGAACCAGCTTACGGTATACAATACGAGTCTGAAAGACTTGGTAAATTGCTAGAGTCCGAGACAGACATGAAATCGCACGGCGCGGGAATCGAATTGTCTTTTGCACGTGTCTGTCTTGGACTTCACCGGCCTGGAAGTGAAAATTCAACGGATAATGCCTCAGTTGATGGCTTGCGAGTAACTGTGTCTCGGGACAGTCAATTTGACCCCAATGTTTTCATCCTTGATATTGAAGATGACAGCAGCTTGATTCGGCCGAGATAACGATTGAAGGATACTTTGACTCGTTGCATCAAACACCTGTTGGTTTTCTTCCATAGAACGTTTTCCATATGAAGCCATGCTGAAGTTACATTGAGAATGACCTATGAGAAATAAACAACTTCGTCAAGTGTGCCAATCAAAGTGGCACAATGCATGTGTAAGAGGGATGGACCAATTGTAACTAAACTTCAAGCAAAGTTATACTGGGTCTTGTAAATGAATTCGAAGATCAATCTCTACCTTCTAATGCCCGAACGTCACGGAAAATTCTTTTCCAGCCTCAGTCTTTCATTGGATGACTCAAAAACATGAGGTACAAGTCCATCATACGGACAGGGGTCTAGCGCCTGCCCAGGTAGACTATCGAAAACCCCGCTCTTACGTTACGCAAGATGACATTTTGCTACCTAATTGTCTCATTCAGCTGCAAGCACTCGCCGGGCACATCTCGTCGCAAAGACTGGCCATCGTCATGCGTCTCCTGGACACCCGCAGCTTCGAACTGGCAGAGTTCGTCGACAACGTCCCCAAATACGCAATTTTGTCGCACACATGGGGCGTCGAAGAAGTTCTTTTCGACGATCTCCAGGGAGGAGGCCGCCCCTCAACCGGTGCTGGATGGGCTAAGGTTAAAGGCGCGTGCGACCTGGCGCGCAGCCGTGGATATGCCTGGATCTGGATTGACACTTGCTGTATCAACAAGAGTAGTAGCGCGGAGCTCTCGGAAGCGATCAACTCGATGTTCAAATGGTACCAGCACGCCGAGGTGTGCTTTGTGCACCTCGCAGATGTCGGCTGGCACGCACATTCTGCAAGTTGCAGTGAGAAGGACGACGAGCGAATACGTGGCAGCCGATGGTTCACGCGCGGATGGACGTTGCAGGAATTGCTTGCCCCTAGACACGTTGAATTCTATTCCGGGGGAAGATGGCGACTTATTGCCACTCGAGCGGAGCTGGGTGCGGTCATAACGAGTGCAACGACGATCGAGAGTGATTACCTGAATAACCGTCCTTTGCACACAGCGAGTGTGGCGCAGCGAATGAGTTGGGCTTCGAGAAGACAGACGACAAGAGTTGAGGATACGGCATATTCCCTTCTAGGCATCTTTGGGGTCAATATGCCCCTGATATACGGAGAGGGCGATAGGGCGTTCCAGAGATTACAAGAGGCCGTGATCAGGCAAATCGACGACCCATCCATCTTCGTTTGGGGTTCCATATCCGACCTGGACGATCCGATGCGTAAATCCATGTCATCACGGAGTCTCCGGGAACCTCTTCTCGCACCTGGACCACATTCGTTCGAGAACACCGGCGACGTCATCCCCTTTCGGATGCTTGGTGTCGAAAGCAGGCTACATCTCGATCATAATGGCATAACGATCACAACACCACTATTGAAGCAGCGTCCGTCTAATGGTTGGACACGAACAGGGACGGAAATCTTCCTGGCACCGTTGCAATGTCGGCGAAAGAGTGAGCCGCTTGATTGCATTGCGTTGTATCTCTGGGGCGAGAGTTCCGGAAAACTGGAGATGAACTATTCTAGAGCCTCGAAGCTGCTCGTGACCGTTCCGAAGACTGTGTGGCTGGACGGAGACTTGTCTCCTGCTTTCATACGGTTTATGGCTGGACAGAATCGGTTTCACCTAGGATCTGGGATCGACCGCGGGTGCATTGTGAGGAGCGTTCCGAAGGGATACCGGGTGGTGGAAGTCTACCCGAAGATTGACAATTTCAAGGTCAGGTCATCCATTGTGCCCTTTGAGGAACGCATCAAAGAGTCGTACGGCCTTACCTATCCCGCCATTCTTCTTCTTGAGGGATCCTCGGCAGATCAGCGCTTGGCGTTGGTGCTCCAGTTTCAATACCTTTCTCGTCAAGACGGCTCCGCGACCGAGCCATCTTTTGTGGGATCTCCAGAGTGGATGATCAACCGCGTCATTATTATGCCCAAGGAGAAGAGCATAAAAGAGATAGCAGGGATAGTGAGGTCAGACGCGAAGCGGTGGACGGCGGATGAAGTGCGAAAAATGACAAACTCAACGATGCGGCCTGGGAAAGATTCCTTATCCTCACACCCGCCTAGTCAGCTTGAGCTTTGTGACAAATTTGACGTCACAGTTTCACAGCACCAAGCGTACGGATCAAGGTTGTTTCTCGTTGATGTGAAGGATCCATCGGTCGAGGACGAGTCTGTGGAGGCAAGGGTTGAGAGCGAATTCCAGCTGACGACGCGGTCGGAACAAAAATAGCGCTTAGAAGATGTCATTGAGACACCAGACTTGAGTTATGTACCTATTCATGCACTCAGAATGGAAATGGGAGAGAAAAACGGTGGAATAACTTTACGATGGTATGTTTGCAGAGACATGGATTTGTTTTCAGTAACACAAACAAATCTGCAGAACAAAGCCATTTCTTGCATCTCCAGACAACAATTGATATGCCTGTGGAACCAAAACCAGGACATCTCGAATCTGCGATTGTCATATGTACTTGCCTGAAGTTTCTCCAAATCAAATGGTTCCGCATGCGGATGTGATAGTCGAAAAACCCCGTTCGAGCACGAGAGACGTCCATCCGATCGATGTTAAAAACCTCTTGTCAGTCTCGTTCTCAAGTAGTCTCCGATTCCCATCCTGTAATCACTTCCGTGCAACCAAGCTGAAGAGTCAACATGCCCGTCACCATTCAAATTGCCGACCATCCTGCCAGAACCTGGTCTCAGCCAAGAGCTACCACCGCTGATGACGTCCTCCGAAAGGCCTGCCCGAGAAACGGCGACGAAGCTTATGACTGGAGCCCTGAGCCTACGCCTAGAGACCCAAGAAGACGCCTCCCAAAGAGAAACGTCATCCAATCCTCTTTCTCGTCTGAGTATCTTCGCAAAACACATATCACACCATCGCAAAACGGGTTCTTGTGGGCTGTCTACCATGCCTACAGTAACCATCACCATCTTCACATCCGACCAGAAGACATTTGGTTCGCAATCTTGACGCAATTGAGCTTCTACATCAATGCAAATTCTGAAAGTCTTAGGTCCCTCTTTGTCGAGCATGAGGGGCGCAAGAAGCTTGAAATCAGGCTCTCAACATCTACAATGGCGTCGACTGACTTCGGTGGCCTCGCACAACGCTTCTCCGAAATGATCTCCTCAAACGTCAAGGATGAAGAATTGCATGATTGGATCATGCCGTCGTTCACGACCACATCTGATAGCGACCATGTGGTTGCATCGATCCTGTTCATGGGAGCAATGCAAAACTACTTCTCCTATGAGGCAACACTGATGTGCGGTCTGCCATCGGTGACCCTTCAGGGAGAGGCTACGGACTATAAAGACATCCTGGACCGCCTTGACAAAATTGAGGAATTTGGGGACGAGGCAAAGCAATTTGTCAAGTTGATGAGACCTATCCTTGAACACATGATTATGTCGTTCGATACACCCGACAGTCCGCAAGTCGAGATGTTCTGGAACAGGATCGCCACATTCCACCATGGAGGCAGCGGCGGTGACCATGTATCTGGATGGCTGGGTATCTTTTCCTTCTGGAAAGCATCGGGTCAGACTTTAGCGGGCTCATCTGATGACTGGCGACCTCGTATTGTCGATGGCATTCCGCGAGTAAAGGTGTTGATGTCAGAATTTGCGGCTGGGACCGCATCAGTTCCTCTTATAGTCAGAGAACCCGGAACGACGCACCATTGTACCATGTCAGCAGGATCAATCGGTATCCAGGCAGCTCGGGACGGTTCCGGTGAAAACTTCGACGACGGTCTGGAAGACTACTATGGCATGCGAGCCGGTCGAGGTGAAAATTCTTATGGTATTTGGCTCAGAGATCTTCATGCCGGCCATGTGGGTTCCAGAACGCGTGAGGAAGGACCGAGCCAGTTCTCCGACTTGACAAAGATTCGATCCTTGACGGGATGGGTGATGTGGGAGGACATGTCCGACGGCGACGGCGTGCCTGAGTCCGGTACAGTGGACAGGCCGGGCAGACAACGACGACGGTGACAATCAAGCTTGAACGAGTCAAACGACTATCAATGCAGTCTTGGTTCGGAGGACTAGAAAGTTTGAGAATATTATCGGCATTTATTTTCCCTACTGAACCTCAAATGCTCTATCACTATTGACAACAAAGCAAATCAAAATTCAGGCACAACAGTTCCGGTTCCTGCTTCCTCTGCAATGGCCAATAGCGCGTTGCCAATTGCAAGATCCGTCGTGCTAACACCAATGTTCTTGTAAACCACGAGACCTTCCTCAACCCATCTCGACAGGTCTTTGTTGTTTCCCGCCCGCCGCGAAAGTTCAACCTCACCCACCTCCACCAGGCTGTCAGGCTGAAGCTTGCTTTGGATGACTTCTCCGGCATGATGCAGAGCACCTTCACGGTCATCTGTAAGAACTGCACCCTTCGACTCCTTGCTTCGCTGGAAACCTTCGCCAACATTGCCGGCGGCGAAAAGAAGCAACTCCGGATCGAGTTCAATCATGTTGGGCTGCCAAGATCCTACGGCGGAAATGAAAGGGTACCGATTTGTCTTGCGTCCTTTTGTAATGTATTCAGCGGGGAACAGCGGGCTCGTGGTGCCAACTGTGCAGAAAATGGCGTCCACGACGGACAGATGATCCTTGATTTTGGATTCATAATCGGGGCTAGCAGGAGCGAGGTAGTCGATGGTTGTCGAGGAATTCCACAGCCTTTGATTCTCATCTTTGATTCTGCTGATCAATTGCTGCGCACGCTCCTCGGAGCGATTTACGACGACGATAGACTTGACTTCGTCTCCACGCAGGGCCAGAGCCAATCGGAGATGCCAAAGTGCCTGCTTCCCAGCACCGAAAACAATGATCTTGTCCGTGTATCGTCGCCAAATATAGGGAATCAGAGCGGAAAGGGAAGTACGGTACCCGGTGAGCTCTTCGGCGTTGATGATACCGGTCGGGTAGCCATCTTGATCACACAGTGTGACGATTCCGTGCAACGCTCCGGCGGCTTTTGAGGATGGCGCCGGCGTGACCACGATCTTCGTTCCAAAGCTGTCCGAGGAGGAAAAAGGCCGGAAGAGGCATTTTTGGCCTTCAGGTCTGTTGACTACGCCGACCTGAGGTTGATAGTCCTTTTCTGTGCCTTTCGAAACGTTGACTAGGCATTTCAGGAGAGCATCTCGGAGACGCAAGATGCCATCTTTTTGCGAGTTGATCAAGATGTCGTGAACGACCGCGTCGCTGAGAATCCGAAGGCCACCCATGATATCGATGAAATCTGGAAAAGCTGTGTTTAATCGGTCTTGAATGTGCCCTTGATGACGATCAACTCATTCGGCTTTAAAGATGTTCGCGGGGTAAGATGCCGATTTTCGCAATCTGATGTAAGCGGATCTCACTATCGGCGGAAACCTTCCTTTCTAAGCCATCAACCACGCGTCAGATAGATCCTCTAGATAACGGACTGACCTTTTCCAATCATCCCGGCCCGAAACTCTGCCAGGAAAATCCTTCGTGGAGACTTTAGAGCCTGCGAAATGCCCCGGATTGGACCCCGATCGTGTTGGTTACCCCGCCCGGATGCGCTTCCGGTCGGATCGGTATCTAGGTTCCGGATGTCGGGCCCCACCAGCCGACTCTCCCTCGGTAGTACGGATCTCCGTGTAAGTCGACATAAAAGTCCAAGAGGTGGCAATGAGGTCAGTCGATTGATTGCTTCTTGCTCCCAAACATCGTATGACTCAAAGGCAAACTGACGACTGGCTACTTTCTACATCATTGTTTCCAAAATGACCTTCGGCCGGACATTCAACGTAGTTGGAGCGCACTGCGGCGGCGAAGTCTGCGATGTCGTCGTCGGCGGCGTTCTCGATGCGCCCGGGAAAACAATGTTCGAGAAGATGATGCATTTCTGGAAAAAGAGAGACAACCTTCGGAACCTTCTCCTTAACGAACCCCGTGGCTCATCGTCCATGTGCACCAACCTGGTTCTTCCGCCCTGCAACCCGGAAGCTGACGCCGGCTTTATCATCATGGAACATGAAGAGTATCCGCCCATGTCCGGTGCGAACACCATCGCGACAAGCACCGTCCTCCTCGAAACGGGCATGGTGCCGATGCAAGAGCCTCTTACTACTCTGAAGCTGGATACAGCCGCGGGGTTGGTTACAGTCACAGCCGAGTGCGAGGCCGGAAAGGCGAAGTACGTCGAGTTCCAAAACGTTCCGGCATTTGTGTATGCTTTGGATTTGGACATTACTGTCCCTGGATTTGATAAGCCTGTCAAGGTCGACATTGCGTATGGAGGGATGTGGTATGCGCTTGTGGACGCTGCCTCGGTTGGTCTTCAGATTGCATCAGAGAATGGACGTGAGCTAGTCGAAGTGGGCGAGCGCATCAAGAGAGCTATCCAGGCGCAGACAGACCCGATACACCCGGAAAACCCTGAGATTAGGGGTGTTACCGTTTTTGAGTTTACCAACCCTCTTGTCAGCTCGGGTAACAATAAGGAGGCTGTCAACACGGTCGTGGTTTCGCCCGGTCGGTTGGATCGCAGCCCCTGTGGAACGGGTACGTGCGCGCGACTTGCCGTGCTACACAAACGGGGACAACTCGCCGGGGGCGAATCGTTTGTTCATCGCAGTGTGATTGGAACCGAGTTCATTGGGACAGTCAGGAGTGAAGCTAGGGTTGGGGAATACGATGCTATTGTGCCGGCGGTTAAGGGAAGTGCTTGGATTACTGCCTTCAAACAGGTTCTACTTCACCCCACGGATCCTTTCCCAGAGGGTTTCAGAGTTGGAGATAAGTGGCATCTTAGCTAGAAATAAAGATGACATATTTTTGGACAGTAACACTGGAGTTTCTTGTTACCATGAAATAAGTTTCTTGGGTTGGATGATGAACTCTATAATTACGTGATGTTTAATGTAGTGCTCCTCAATCTATCGCAATTATTATCTTTCCAGTCTCCCTATACGCAGTGTAATATCACAATCTCTCAAATCTTCATTCTGGTTTGCGTGTCCACAGGCGTCGCGCGAACCATCAACGGCTTCTTGATCCACAGCGCAAAGGCCTTCTGGTTAGTCCAGTCCTTGCTCTCCTCACAGAGCTCGAGGTCGTACGAGAAAAGCAACGTAGCCAAGATGAGTCTCATCTCGTGCATTGCCATGTTCTGTCCCAAGCAGTCGCGCGGGCCAAACCCGAATGGCTTGTGTGCATCCAGAACATCTCCAGCATACGCAGGGTCCGTCTTCAGCCATCTCTCTGGGGCAAAGGTCTTGGCGTTCCTGAAGTTGGCTTCGGATTGATATGTCGACCAGTGGTGAACTGAGATGCGAACTCCCTCGGGTACCCATTTGCCCATGATCTGTTGACCGCCGGGCATGACTACTCGGGGGCTACCGATGGGGACTGGAGGGTAGACGCGCAGGGACTCTTTCAGAACGGCGTTCAGATATTTCAGGTCCGCAAGACGCTCGAAAGTCAGATCGTCCAGAGTGGAGAAGCTGCTGCGGATCTCTTCGAGGAGAGTCTTCATCTTATCGGGGTTGGCGAGAAGAGTGTAAACGCATCCGCTCAGTAGGGTGGCTATCAGAATCAGTCTCGAGCCCCTGAACATTCCAAAGACGTTGAAAGCTTACCAGTAGTTTCGGATCCAGCAAGCATGAAAAGCTCCGCATTTGAGTGCATCTCCTTGATAGTGAGCTCCTTGCCCTCCTTCGCGGCCAGAACCAAGTTCCAAACGTCGGGTTGGGTGGAGCCGCTCTCGAGACGCTGGTTGACGCGCTCCTTTGAATGCCTGCAATGGGTAACGCGCTGCTCGGTAACGGACTTTGGCTCGAACTTGGTGAAGATGGCATTCAGGATCGGGTAGTAGTTGATGATGGACACGATGGGCAACATCTTCAGCGACTCGAATATTGACTTGACCCAGGGACTGAACTCATTCTTCGCCAGCAGGCCCAGGGGCTGTCCGAAGCAAAGCTCGGCCATGACGTCAAAGGTTGTAAAGTTGAGCAATTGCATCATTTCCACGGGTTCCTTTCCGTCTTTGCCGATTTCAGAGATCTTGTACATAAAGAGGTCCACATATTTGCGGAAGAGAGGCTCTTGCTGTCTCAGAGCACGCTCTGAGAAGGCTGGCGAGAAGAGACGACGGACTCGCGCGTGGTTCTCCGTGTTAGTGGTGAGAATGCTAGGTACGCCTGAAAAATGTTAGCATCGAGGTTAAACATACCAGACACGACCGCCGCAGCTGAGGCGCAAGTGATGAACCCCCTTACCGTTGACGGGCTGCACAGAGAATTCTTGAGCTTTCTCCTGCACCTTGGGGCCATGAACATCATCCCAAGCCTGAGCAGCCGTGTAGCTCAGATCAGTAGGGCCGAAACGAACAACAGGTCCATACTGCTCATGCAAACTCTTCATCCACTCGATGTCATCACCTCTGAGCGCGACAAGCCAGTACGGAATCCGGGTGATTGCGCAGATCTTGGGACCCGGCACATCGGCCAGTGGGTGGAGCGTAATGGAGTAGATAGCACTACCGAGCAGGTAAATGGCCAGGAGGCCCACGCCCAGGAGAATTGTAGCCACCATCGCGGTAGAACGAAGGAGAATCGCTTTGCGAAGGCTTCGCAAACACGCGACTGGGAGGAGATGTGTTTAAGAGAGCAAACAGATACTCGACTGAGGGGCATCGACGAACTTCGGTGGGAAATGGACAGAAATTGATGAAATATGACCAGCATCTGACTGGCCAGTTCACAGGACCCCTGATGCATCCCGCCCCCCCACAAAGCGCCAACAGACATTCTGCAACGGGAGGATGGGGACGTGCCGTCCGGACTGATTTTGGGAGATATCAGTCTCCCTCTATGCCGAAGACGGCAGCGATAGACAGGGTTCTGTTCCAGACGTCGCCAAAATTACCAGTGAACGATCCAGCAACGGACATCGAGGAAATTTGATGTCCGCGCAGCTGGGTTGCTCCGTTGTCTGTTCTCAGTGTTCTGGATTTTCCAGCCGCTCTGGAGCCCAATCCTTGTGTTGGATCTGCACTAAAAACGACCGTGCCCACGGGAGCTACGTTTATGCCAACTCAATGTCTTTATGCTGCGGGGATCACGACGACTCTAACGCAGGTTGTCATCGATGCAGTTCATCCCATTCCAGCACAACGTTTTCTGCGTGTGAACTCTGATCATATTAACCCCGAAAGCGAGCAGATCGAAGCGAAAACCAGCAGCATGGCACCATTGCCCGAGCTTCACGTCAACGTCTCAGGCGAGAGCAGTCGACTGGGGTCATTTACCGACGTCGCAGTGGACAAGCCGCCAGTCGAGTCATGTCCCCTCGACCTGCAGACAGGGATCGATGGGGTACTCGGCAACATGGCCTATCGCACACCCAGATTCATCTATTCTCTAGTCTGGTGCGGGATTGACTTGACAGTCCCGACTGGCCGCGGCTTGTCGACGTTGCAAGCCCTGACATTGGGTAGAAACAGATTGCTCAATTTGCGGCATGTGCGTGGCTTTGCAGCGGCCGCCAGTCCCAATTGGCGGCGGACATGGCAGATCACGACAGGGAAACCGGTCCTGAACCGGTCCTGCACACGTGCAGTAATGAGCTATTAAGACAAATCCTTGGTTATCGTCACAGTCCGAGCACTTTGCGGTGGCCATTCTTTGCACTAGACGAGGAGGCGCTGACTCGATGGAAAGGGGCAAATACGGGAATGGCATCTGCCATGCGGTTGAGTTCTTGGCCGAAAACTGACAGCGGTTCCACTTCCAGGGCTGGTGTCTACCAGAAGGCGGCTACTCCAGGCTTCCACTCCTTCGGATGGAGAATCCATTCATGGCACAGAAACCGGGCATCACATTTATGTTTCTAGTCATATTCCTAACATCTGCCTGTGGGGTTCGACTGGAAAAAGTCCTAGCCCCTTGGTCGAAAGAAGAGACGAGCCCACAGTGAGGAGCGACACAGACGCAGGAACGTTGGTGGTTTGTTGGTGCTCCATAGACCACGCGGCAGATCGTTCCGGCTATTCATAATGCCACCAATTCCCCGATGTGGCTCATCTTGCATGTCTTCTTTCCCAACTCGCCGGAACCGATTCGACGCAAGAGCAGGCACTTCTCTCCATCTGCCGGCCTCGAACAGGAAACCGACAAGAAGCCGCCGGTGGGATAGGGGACTGGCAGCAGCTTGGTGTTAACCGCCAAAATGGCTGCCACTATGACCGGGGAGCAAATCTCGGCTATCGCCTACCAGCTTGAGCCTTTGACCCCGAAGGGCCTGGGGCCGGCTGTCGAGTTCATCGCCATCGTTTTCGGGATTGTTTGTGTGATTGTGGTCGGGCTTCGTATCTATGTCCGCGCTGGGCTCTCGGGGGCGTCGACAAGACTATGGGGTGTCGAGGATTGGCTAGCAGTGATCGGAACAGTAAGTGTTTTCGACCTTAACGCAAGACTGCGGATCTTATGTTCCACGGCATTTTGTGTCTTGCAACCGGATGACTGACGGTCGACCCCATAGGTGCCCTTCATACCGGCGGTCGTCTTTGCGGTGTACGCATCACGATATGGAGTCGGCTCCCACGATGCCGATATCCCTTCCCAACTTTACCTGATTCGCGCTTCCGAATATCAAACCTACTGGGAAGTCCTCTACTTCATCTCGTCAACAATAATCAAGTGCGCCATCGGCTTTACGTGCGTACGTTTGGATAGACGGAAGCGAGTAACAGTCATCATGGGCATCAACATGGCTGTGATGGTGATTGTTGCGATTCTCGCTTTGGTGTTTGTTTTCGCAAACTGCACTCCACTTGCCGCAACATGGAACCCCGCGTTGTAAGTTCTCCGCCGCACTGCTTCACGTTGCGTAAACACTTGATTAATCTTCTTCTACCAGAGGAACATGTCAGAAGGTTATCAGCCTGCAGACTGTCAGCTACATCGTCTCTGCCATTCAGATGATCACAGACTGGACTTGCGCAATCATCCCTTTCTTCATTGTTGCGGGACTGCAAATGTCCCAAAGAAAGAAGGTCTCTGTCTGCGCCATTCTCGGTCTCGGTCTGTTTGCCAGTATTGCGACTGTCATCAGAATGCCATACCTCAAGTACTACGACACCGCCAAGTACCCGACAGAGATTGGATGTACGTTGCTGTCATCAACAAATACCTATTCAGAGACTGACCGTAGTATAGACCATCTCGGCGTTATAAGTATTACCTCCAACCTCGAGTGCGCGTTAGGAATTATTGGATGTTCTCTGCCGCCATTGCGAAAACTCTTCAAGTTTTACTATGGCTCATCTCACGATGGCAATTACAAAGTCTCAGGCGGGGTAAGTTTATTCATGCGCATGACATGCTGAAATTTGCTTTGAATCTGCGCTGATCCCATCAACAGAGCGAAAACGTTCTCGGTAGCGCTGGCCCGGCTATTAAACTTGGCTCGCTCAGTGACCACGATAGAACATACCATGCATCAGCGAGGAGAACGGGTACCAGAGACCTTGAAACGGACGACGATCGAGACGATTCGAGCCACAAGGGCATAATCCGGAAAACCGATGTCTACATTAGCACATCATCGTTTCAAGGCCGATAACGATTGCAGTCGGGTTGCTACATGTTTACGACGGAATGTTAGAGAGGAAGACCCTTCTGGGCCACATATCATCACACCAAAACGATGTAACTGTAATAAAACACAATCAATCTGACAATAGCTGAAAGCTATTACGGGAACCCCTGAGAAAATTCGCGGAGTCCACCGACATATGCCGGTTATCTGCTTC